CATAGCAATGAAAGCGGCTGAATCCCCTATGGTCAACCCTGCAGTTTGAGTCCTGGACCTGCCAGCTTGTCAAACACACCAGGTGCGTGTGTGTATGAGACCAAAATCCCAAGAGAAGAATGTAGGAAAAAGGATTGCAGCATGGTCATCCCTTCTGAATGGTGATTTCTCACTTTCCCTCTCTGCCTCTCTCTCTGTCTTTGATGAGCACATGCACCTTATAGCAAACTTTAAAAAAGTACAATGCATTTAAAAAGACAAATACAGCTTTGGGCCCAGCAGGTGGTGTAGTGGTTAAGGCGTTGGACTCCCACATGACTGACCATGATTCAAGCCCTGGACCTGACAGTATGAAATCACACTAGGCACTTGTGCACGCATGCCCAAAATTCCCGGAGGAGAATGGAGGAGAAGGGATTGCGCCATGGCCATCCTTTCTGGGGGTGATTTCTCACTCTCACTCTCCCTCTCACTGTCTCTCTCTGGTGAGTGTAGGTACCCTATGGCAAAAACCTTAAAAATAAATAGAAAAAGTTTCTAGTTAACAATGGCTTCCACTCCAGCTCTTTTTGCTCACTTTTCTACCTCACCCTATATGGTCTTTTTTTTTTTAACTTCAGGTAGACTATATAGAAGTCTAATTAAATGGCTTCTGAACAAGTCTTTGCTTTTGTTTTATTCGTTCCTTTCTTTCTCTCTAGTTTTGTCACTGTGAGTGCATGAAGGCATGTTTAACAGCTTCTTGTTCTCTACCTCTCCTGTACTAGCCAACATCCCACTACACTATCCCGCACCCCATAGGCCCGGTAGGCATGGTGGCTAATCCCAGTATCCAGTCATCCATGTGAAAATGAGCTCAGTGGTTGATGAGTGTTCAGAGTAGGTACCGGAGCCTGGTAAGATGACTCCAAAATTTCTGTATAGGGACCAGCAGGTGGCGTGGTGGTTGGGGTGCTGGATTCCCATGTGGTCGACTGCTTTTCGAGTCCCAGAATTGATGGCTAGCTTTCTTTCTTACTTTCCCTCTCTCTCTCTGTCTCTCTCTGGTGAGCACATGTGCCCGATAGCAAATTTTAAAATAATAATAATAAATAAAATGAAATAAATCTCTTTTTAAAAAAGAAAAATTAATTTTATTTTATTTATTATTATTATTCCATTTGGCTGGAGTGAGACAGACAGACAGAGAGAGCAGGAGAGGGAGAAAGCGAGCTGCCAGGTCCAGGACTTGAACTGTGGTTAACCATCTAGGAGTCCAGAGCCTTAACCACCATGCCACCTGCAGGCCCCAAATAAATAATTCTTTAAAGAAAAACATTTCTGTATAAACTCAGGATTTGAGCCCTCATTGTTGTTAGTTCTCTTGAAGCAGAGTCCTCTGGCCCACCCTTGTGAGCCCTCATTTCAGGAAGCAGGTCAGCTGTGGCTCCTCCCTGCAGTTCTTCTCTATCCCGAAATACTGGACTATCCAGAATGTATAGAATAGTAGGGGCAGGAACTTTCCTGTTTCTGAGGAACTTTAGCTAGTTCCAGCACTTCACTGTGTGCTTATGAATCACAGGGATACCATCTTAAAATACAAATTCCAAGTCTGAAGTTTTGAGGTGGGGCCTGAAGTTGTGCATTTCTTTTCTTTTCTTTTCCTTTTTGAGAGATTTTTGCTATATAACACATGCGCTCATGGGAGAGACAGAGAGAGATAGAAAGCAAGAAATCACCGCCTAAGGGGACAGCCACACTGTAATCCATTCTCCTCTTGGGATCTTGGGCACACACGCACACACACCTAGCATGAGTTTATAACTGCTGAGTCCAGGACTCGACCAATGATTGGTTGACTACGCGGGAGTCCAGTGACATAACCATTACGCCATCTGTTGGTCCCAAAGTTATGCATTTCTAACAAATTCTCAGGTGATAACTGTGCTGATGTGGGTACTGAAGCTGCTTGTCTATGACCCACACTTTGAGAAGGAAGAGTCTAGAATACCCATACCTCCAAGTACATTGAATTTTAGCAAGTGGGGGCAGCCTTTCCTTGCACACATCATTCATTGTAGCATCTTCTTTAAGAGTTGGGCTGGGGAACAGAAGACGGCCCCGGGGGCTCACGCTCCCCGCGCGCGGC